TGCCTTTTCATGGAGATTTGGTTTTACAGTTTCCAAAACTCCATTGTTGGATATTACTTTAATATATATTAAGTGTAATATTTACCACCAATGATTTGACAAAAGGTGAAAGTGAGTGAAATTGCCCACCAAAGCTTAAATGAGTTTTATTGCCAATGTAAATCTATCATCCCTTCAATCCCTCTCATGTGAGGCTCAGCTGAGTCGGTGCAGGATTTCTACCACAGATTAACAATGTCACACGGCTGCATTTGGATTAAACACAAAGGCAGATAACAGAGCGAATCATCAGACTTCTTTTGAATGTGATGATGAATTCAGCCTGCATTATTATTTCAGAGGAATCGCTCTCATTTTTCTTTTCTCTTGTGGTTTCACTGTAGTTTTGACTGTAAAATGAAAGTTAATACAATCAATGTGCAGGAGCAGCTGGACAAATGACTCATTCCTCCTTAAAGTCATGACACTCCATCTCTCAAAAATATTATATATATTCATGATTTGAGATGTATTTCTTTGTGCTTTAGATGTTGTTTTTATCTGTTCATATTCCCCAGAACAATAACTTCAGAGCCAGTATGGAGAGGAGGAATTATTATAATGACCAAAAACTCTTTCAATGCACACATAATGTGCCTAATGCTTCAAGCTTGTAAGAATGTCGAACTTACCCTCTTTAAGTTAAGAATAAAAGGATTACGATAAATCGTCTGTGCTTTGCTTTACAAAGGTCACATTCATGCATGGTTGAATAAGGAGGTCATGGGAAAAAAATACATGAAACTGGATCTTGAACATCAAAAGACACACAGTATGTTACTTAGTAGAAAGCTGGGTTTACATCCATGTAAGGAAAGAAAATGAGTATGTAAAGGTCGCCTAACTAAACTGTGTGCCAGTTAACTGAATATTGTCTTAAAACAAACTAATGTATAAAGATTAAAGAAAGTTCCTATACGTCCCTGTGCTGGGACAATTATGACAAAGAAAAATACAAATTATATTTAGTTAAAAAATGAAATCTTTCCAGAATAACCTAATTAAAACTCTAACTGTAATATCATGTAATAAAAAGTCTGTTTATGTTTTGGAAAGTAGTGATGGAAAGTCAAGTATATTTACCAAAGTACTGTACTTAAGTACACATTTCAGATACTTTCCACAAGTACTTCCATTTCATGCAACTTTATACTACTACCTCCCTACATTTCAGAGAGAAATGGTACTTTTCACTCCACGACATTTATTGTAATTAACAACTAACAAAATACTTTTGTAGATTTTACATACAAAACATATGATCATCCAAAATAAGATGCTCAAACTATCAAACAATATGCAAATAGTAGTTGAAATTAGCTCCCTCTTGATCAACGTCAACAATAAAATTCTGCTTGCACATAAATGCTTCAGTAATAATAATCGAATAATATAACATATAGTAGTGTAACACTCAATGGGGCCATTTTCCTGAATTGGGAGGACTTTTACTCAATTTATTTAGTAATACACACATATATGGCATTTCGAATGCAGCACCTTTACTTATTGAGACATTTTATATACTGCAGTATTGACACTTCTATTTACGTAAAGGATCTGAATATTTCCTGCATCACCTTTGGAAGGACTGATAACTGATTATTAGCGTTCACTATCTTTAAGTTTGTGAGACTCTCAGGTACAGAGTCATAGAAGTCATAGAAGATGTATTTTCTGTACTTACTTGCCACAGTTTGTGAGGCCACTGCCAGCAACACCAACAGCACCACAGACGTCCACATTGTCAGTGCTCCTCCTCTGTGTGAGATATCCCTTTTGTGAGGACCAGACAACAGGAATCAGGCTTTATAAATGGTGTGATGTTTGACTTCACTCAGATTATTAGAAGAAGAAACACCTCCTTCCTCACAAAGCCCTCTAGACCTCCTCGAATCAGATTTTAGGGGCGCCTGCACTGTTTTTTTGAACTGTGTATTTATAGTTAAAAGCACGTCTCAGGGATTAAAGTTGCAAATACAGTAGAGAAAGGAGCTCATAATCACATAAGAAATGTTGAATTCCACTTTTCTTTTGCATGCATGCATGCAACAGATTGGGTCACAAGACATGCTCGAGTTTGCATAAACCGATCAAAAGAAATAACAAATAAACATCCTAACAAAGCTGCGCTTAGTGATATCATTACAGTTAGTGGTGGAACGTAACGTTGCTTATATTCTGCTTAATATTTTCATTTTATGTCACTACAGTATTTCCCAGCTGCTGTGACTTTAGAGATCAATTTAGATACACAATAAATGATTAACTCATAAAATATGATGCATTGTTATAGATTAAATTACCCAACAGTGACAAAGTAGTTTAAATTAGCTCCAAATAGACGAGCTAAAACGCTTAAAATGCTGCTTACACATGTGATAACAATATAATAATCTGCATAATCAAGTTGATTGAGCTGGTAATAGCTCTAAACTTTTACTTAAGTAACATTTTGAATGCAGGAATTTGACATGCAAGTATTTGTACATTGTGCTATTGGTGCTTTTATTTTAATAAAGAGCTGAAATACTTCTTCTGAATATACTGCAGTGCAGTTATATATGTGTAAATATGTGTTGTATCATAACATCAACCTTATGTGATTATTCTTTCTCATGCTGATTCTTAAGATCCTTACAGTTAATAACCTGTTTGTATTTTATTTTTGGCATGTGTATATTTTGGAATTGCAAACAGTGTTTTATTAATTAGACTTTTTAAAGGTCAGTACAATACCAATGGATTGTACTGAAATCATGAGGTTACATGTCATTCAATTTTGGGTCTTAGGTGACAATCCCACATATCACGTGTTTTCAAATACAAAATGAATGGTCACCGAAATCTCTGCTAAAATCACCTGACACATTTTGGGGCTGCCCGTCTAATTGTTCCTAATTAAGTGCGGATTTACGCTGAAATTCATGTTGCTGCTGCTGATTTAATCCATGAACTCTAAAAAAACCTTAAAATTCGTAGAAGTCATAGAAGCTGACATGCTTGAATATGACGCTATGATGAAATATAGGGTCTTAAATATTAAAGTGTAACGGGAAGTTGTTCATTTCTGTGTCATTAGAACAATAGCTCACACAGTCGGCTAAGAGACGCTGTGCTTGGGGGGAAAAAAGGGAGGAATGCAGCTTTAATGAGGATTATTGAAGCACTTGTGACTCCCTAAATTCATCCGGCTTTGTCCTTCTACCCCCCCGAGAACTATCAAGTGACTTTGTTGAAAGATTATTTGTCTCCATATCATATGTGCCAAACACATACACATGTTTAAACCTCTTTTTTTAAAACAATGTCAGCATTCACACCTAATCCTGTTCAGACCTGTTTCATCACGAACCCTTTAACTCCCTTGACCCCACAACATATATGTACAGAACCATAACATGAATTAAAGCATATAACATGACGTCTCAGGTCTCTGGTTAAAAAAGGCTGATGCATCAGATAATGTGGTGAAACTTAAACCTGGCTAAAGCTTCTCGTGAACCGTTTGATGGTCAGCATGTCAGGTTGGTCATGGCCTACAGAGGGTAGAGAAAAAAGAAACAGAAATAAGCAGAGTTATGAAGATTGAGACCACTCTCATATCAACACAAATAGGCTTAAATATCGGCAACCTTTTAGTCCCAAACCTGGTTAAAGGCGTTGTTCTTCTTCATTTAAGAGAATCTGATGGCACCTTTTCATCACAGCTGCATGAAGAGAAGACGTTAAGACGACCATTTAGATTTGAGGCCTCTAAGGCTTCATCTCGTTCTCGAAATTAGTTTAAAATCTGGAATGATAAACCTACTTAGGCTTTCATTTGTGGATTTTAGGACAACTTTGCTTTTGTTCTACTTGTTTTCTGAACAATTTCGACCTGTGACACACAGAAGCAATGTCTAGTGGGGGCCTCTTGATATTTCTCTTCAAATCTTCTAAGATGGTTTAATTTCAATAACTGTTTTTGAGTTAAAAAAATATCCAATATTTCACCAAAAAATAGATAAACTACCTGCACCTTGGCCATCTTATGCTGTTCATTCACTGATGTAGAAATAGTACCATTATGAGATTAGATTAAAATGTATGGTCATTGCACAGACTATATGTACCGAGACAACGACGTGCAGTTCAGCATCTAGCATCTAGTACAGGTAAGTGTATAGTGTGGCAGTAGTAAGTGAAGTGCGTAAGAGACTTGTAATGTTCATCCCAGTTATGGAATCGGTCACATGAAGAAAATAAGCTGAGAAGAAAGATATTCATAGCCTGTGGGATAACAATGGCTCTTAGTTGAGAGATGAAACACATTTGTCTATAACTTTGGGTTTGGTGAGGCATTTCTTATTAACGAAAAGCTCAACATATGTATGTTAAGAGAATCTGTTTACTTAGTATAAAGTGCAATGAACTGATGGACTAAACCCAAACTGCATAGGATGATGAAATATGAATTATATTTTATATAATTGATCTAAAAAGCAAAGAGCCGAATGTGTCGAGCTAAGAACTGGTATTTTACCACTTACAGTTGAAACTGGGCAGTATGTCAGTCTGGAGGAAGAAAAGCAGATTTGTTCATTTGCTGTTTGACTGATATAGAAATGAGAAATCATCATTCCAAATATGTCATTTGAAAAATATATGTACTTTATAATGTGGTAATTTATTTTCACTGGAAGATGTATGCTTTGTAAAATGGTGGTGTCTTGATATTTGACATGACACAGAAATTGAATTAAACTAACTAACTAGTATTTACTTACCGTGATGGAATATTTTTTGCATTGCTGTATTAGTACTTTTATCACAATTAAATACTTTTAGGTTGAGAAAACTTGCTTAACACGGGCCTGCCGTTCGTCCATCCGTCCGTCCACCAGGCGGCGCTGTGAGCTACAGCGAGTGAGAGCGGAGGTGTTCAGAAGTAGAGCCTCTCCAGTTTGATTGGAGGAAGTAATACATCAACAAAGAAAGATGGCCGAAGTCATAGAGTTGCAGAAACTGAAGGTTGGTAGTGCCGTAAAGACGTATTTATATCACACAGAAGGTGCTTTTATTAGTAAATATTGTGTTGTAACCGTTGTTAGTTGTGATACGTTACCAGAGAGCGAAGTTAAAGAGCGGTTTGAAGCGTTAAATGTGTCCGTCGTGAGTGCAGGCTAACAACCGGCGTGTGTTCACGTTGTTCATTCAGACGCGAAGCGAAACGAGTCAATCATACAAATATATTATTTAAAAGCTAACGTAGCGGTTAATACGCCGCTGGGGAAGTTAACTTATATTGTAACGTTTAATTAAAATTCTAAATGTTGCCCCTGATGTTAGATATATATATAGTGTCCCGCCATATATGTCGCGGGTCCAATTAAATTAGCTAATTTAACATCGTGTTAGTGTGTGTTTGACCTTCAGCGGTCATATTACGTTAATTAATGTTATTAAAGTTCATTATCGTATGTGCGTCGTGTTGTCCAGTTCACGAGCCGTGTGCAAAACTGCACGCCTTCTATAAAAGTACAATGGCGTGGATGCTAAACCACTTCCTACTCACGAGCAGTGGTGGAAAGTAACACCACAGTTCAGACACTTTTCTTTTACTCGAGTGTTTCCTTTTTATGGTTCACTTTGTATACTTAGACTCTACTACATTTCAGATAGGAATATTATTTACATTTGTATACCGGTGCATTTATCCGACAGCTGTTTCGGGTCAAGATTTAACATTTGATCTCTTTAAGAAATATTATTCATACTTAAAATATATTAAATAGTTAAAACCCACCAATCCACCACTGTACTTGAGTACTGTGGGTTACAGGGGATTATCCACATATGTCACTACGAGCAGTTTTATTTAGGACTACTTAAAGTAATTGTCCCATCAACAGCAAGGCTTAATTGTTAAATGTTACTTGTTGTATTAAAAGTGCTGTTTTCTGTTCCTTTTAGCTTGCTGAGCTGAGGCAGGAGTGTGAGGCCCGAGGTCTGGACACCAAGGGAAACAAAGGAGATCTCATCGCTCGACTGCAATCCTATCTGGAGGAGCACGGTGAGGCAACGTTATATATAGATACAGTATGCAAATGGTTGCATGGACTGTAATCAGAAACGCATGAAATGGATCAAGTTGTGATGAATTGTGTCTATGTGCAGCTCTGATGTGAGATGCTGTTGGGTCCTAATATATAGTGAGACTGTGTCTTGTTCGTTGTCCTTTGTGGATTTAAAAGCACTGATCTGTCCGTCTGACCCTCTTTCTTTCTGCTCTCTGGTTTCTTTCTCCTGTAAACAACAGAGGAAGATGTGGACGTGGATGACGTGCTGGCAGAGGACACAGAGGTAATGTGATTGTTGATACTTTCACTTGCACTCTCAGACCTCATTAGACCATTCTGTGGACTAGTGATGAATGTTTCTATTTTCCTTTTTAGGACTTAGATAAAGTTGAGATTGCCAACGATGTAAAAGAAGAGAAGATTTCCGAGTCTACTGAGGATGAGCAAGAGCCGTAAGTTTATTCTCATTTAGTCTACAACAAACAAAATAAGCATATTTCTCCAAAATGTTGCACCTTTCCTTTGATTTTGGAAAATATTGTTTATCTATGAGCCAAAAACTGCGTTTACTCAAAAGGCTACTTGAGGCTCCAAAAGCAAGTCAATCCCCATAGACCCCCATATTAAAATGCCAAACTACAGCAGAAATAGACACGTTTACAGCTGGGTACAAAAGCAGTTTGGGTCTCCCTGTTTATGACAACCATATGGGGTTTGCATTTTATATAACCTACCTGTTGAAATGATATCAAGGCTTAAAGTTGGGGAACATTTTAAGTTTAAGTTCTAGGTGGGTGCCTTGTCAGATCGCCAGCTTCAAGCTGTCTGCTCTGCAGCGTCACACGAAAACCGCCTCAGCGCCACCAACTCTTCACCTCTTTGCCCTTTTTTAGTCGTCACAACCAAGATGGCGACGGCCAAAGCCGTCACGGAGACTACCACTTTATTTGATACAGTCTATGGAAACAATCGAAGCAATCGTCTTTAACCTAAGATTCGGCTTGTTACTGAAATTCTCTTATCTAGAGATAAGCTGTTATAGATATAGCTGTTATTAAACGGGTCGCTCAAATCAAGCAATCTGATTGGGTCATAACCGTGATGTAATGGGTCTTCAGTTTTCACCACTAATCAATCTTGTGCTCATCCCACTTCTCCATATGTTCTTTCAGACCTGCTGATAAGAAGGTGGTGAAAATAGCTCCTCCATCATCTTCCGGTGAAGTACGTATGACATGTTTGTATGCGCTACTAATCCAATTAGAAGCCTTCAATCTGCATATTTTAATATTAAAATCAATGTCATGTGTGTAAGAGTGTAAAACCTTAGAATTCAAAATAAAACATAGTAGAGTCATTATTCCTTTCAAATATTGATCAGCAGAAGCAACACCTTCATATTGTGTTGTGATTTTAAATGTGACGTTTTGTTGAGCAGAGACTACAGAAGAGGGCAGAACGTTTCAACATTCCTGCAACAGCCGAAAGCAAAAAGGCCATACGTGCAGCAAGGTAAGACTTAACCAGGGTCCTTTTTAAAGGTACTTCCTGCTTGTTGCATTTTTATTTTTGTAGTTTTGGGTAACGATAACATTGTATTTATTCACTGAGGTCCTTTCTGGGATTTGTGGATGCAGCAAAATCACTAATTACTTGATCGGATCGGTTTTAAATACAACCTGAAAAGAGCAACACATACGTGTAATTGTACAGAAACAAAGCCTTCACAGGGCATCTGTAATGTGTAGTACCGTGAACTATCACTAAATACCTCACACTAGCCATCATGGTGTCCACAGGACAACTTATCTTCCATTTAACAGAAATACGCTTGAAAGAAATCAAAACTTTGCTTTATATTTGTTCAAAGAGACTTGACATAAACACAGAGAGTAAAGTGACTAAAGTCCAAAACTTCTCCGGTAAAAGTCCAGAACAAATAGAGGAAGTGCGGCACATTCGGCTGCTTTTGTTAAAATGCTAAATGTTTCCTTTTATTGGAAAGTGTACGTATTCTACATTATGACCATTTCACTCCTATAACCAGTAGAGTGACCCTGTACACTTAAATAACAGTCTATGCCCTACTACACATCACTGCATCAGTAAATAGTCCACTGTTATCATTACTTGTTGCCTAAACTGTGAAAATAATAGCCAAGTTCCCATAAACTCGATTTATACTTGAAGTAAATGTTAAATTGATTATGCTCCTTTTCTTCAGGTTTGGTGAATCCACCGAGAACTCCAATCCCGCTCCAGGTGTGTAGTCTTTACTCGTCTACTTAACTGGCTTTCTATGTTCTAAATGGAGCAACAATAGATGTGCAGTGAAGTATTTTTTAACTGTTTCCTGGGATTTAAAAAGTATTACTTTCAGTCTTTGTTTGAGATTTCTCACCATAAGTGAAGTTTGATTTTATATAGAGAGCTCTGGATAACAAATCAGAAAATTGTTGTTAGTTATCTTTGCAGGGCATAGCCTGAAGAGAGTATGTCTTTAGCTGTGTGTGTTTGTGTGTGCACACACATCTGTCTGTCCGTCTGTGACCAATCTTGTATACTTCTGGAGCCATCAGCCTCATGTTTTTTGTGCTCATGTATGAATATATGTTCACATACCTCTTTTGGTTGCAGTGATTTACACTTGTTGGAAACTTATTCTATTGACTGTTTTATACCGTCATGGACTGCTGACTCTCACTACTCTTAACCAGCTGGTAGGGGGCCGCACATGATCAACAGCTGCTTCATTTTGGACTCTGGCGAACTGTATTTTAGCTGCACAGAGATGGTGCAGACGGCTGCATAGATTCAAATGAAACTTAAATTCTCAGGAAATACCAGCATCTCAATTCCCAGCCTCCAAACACATTAACCTAATAGTACTTACGTACTCACTGGTCTGTACCTGCTGCTTCTCACCACACCATTTTAATAATCTGTCTCTCAAACAGGTGCCGTTGTGAACAGTAAAGCTCCTGTAAGTGTCTCATCATTTACACATTTCTCAAATTCCTCCAGTTGATGAGATGATATTGATGGAGAATTTGTTTGTGTCTCATGAAGGTGAACGTCGATCAGCTGAAGAAGAGAGCTGAGAGATTTGGCATCAGCGTTTCCTCCGTTTCACAAAAGGTGACTATGAGCTGTGACTGAGCTATATGGCCAAAATCTTCAATCACGTTTATCGGTCATTTTATATCCAGATAACAATATGTATCACAATACAGCATGCTTTCTGGTAATTCAATAAGTAAACTGTCTATATATCATAACCACATGGTTTTCTATACTCTTGTGTTAATTAAATACCTGACAAATGAAAAGAATTGAGTATTTTCTCATTTAGTTAAGAATTTCAATGCAAAATAATCCAAATTTCGGAGAAATTTGAGTTATAATTAATTTAGACATTATTGTTTATCACAATATCTCGAGATGATTTCATCGTAATATGATTCCATTGAAGGACGATACATTATCATATTGTATTTAACGCCCAGCCCTAATATGAGCTTCTATTCATGGCTTATTTATATTCTTATGTTGACACTTTTTCTGTCCTTTTGGAGTCAAACATTTGGCTTTAAAATGTTGTTTTTGTTGTTGTTTGCAGATTGAAGAGGACGAAAAGCTGAAGAAGAGAAAGGAGAGATTTGGGGCCTCAGCAGGTCCCGTTTCAGCGGATGTTGAGGTGTGTGTGTTTTTGTTGTTTTGTGGTCATTTATATTTTATAATGAAGCTCATTACATGTTGAGGATTTCTTTTTGTCTTTTTCTACAGGCAAAGAAAATGAAGCGCGCTGAAAGATTTGGAAAAGTTTGAATAATGTTTTAAAGCCTATGATTCTTTTTTTTCTTTTTTTTTTTTTTGTTTTCTTTTTTTTTTTTTTTTTTTGTAAAACATCTTCATTACTGCACAACAGAAATCCCTGCAGACGACAAACGTCACTGATAGGATTCCTGTAAAGCAAAGGTACAATTAAATGCAAAGATACATTTGTGAGTTGTGTCATTAAACGGTTTGGAAAACAAAATAATAAAAAGACGCCCTCGATTATTTACTAAGCCTCGATGTCAGTGGATAATGCAAACTAGAAAAACATTTAATACAAACCACCTATTTTAGTTTTTACTGGCGCACCGTTTTCTCAGGCCTTAGAGGCCTTCGATCATGTCATTTTTAATTTGCGTTCTTTTTATTTAAGGAATTAGAGGTGTGTTTATACAATACGTGGCCAGTGTTATTGGCTCATATGTAACAGGTTTTGTTTTCCCCTCTCTACTAAATGCACTGTTCACTGCTTCCTCTGAGCTGCAATGAAATCCATTTATCAAGTCTTTATCCAGCAACTAGTCAAACAGCAAAAGCCTGTTCGTACGAGATAATTAGTGATCCCTGCGTCAGGTGATTCCTCACAATATATTCTTAAATCAAAATGGTGCATTAAACCACTGGAAATTTCACAAACCAAACAGAAAATGTGGGCAAAGCAGGGAATGAATTTACTGTGAAGCAGCTGTAGAACCAGACAAAAATAGAAACTGAACTCAAACTGTATCGACTCCAACAGTGTGCAGGAGCTAAAAACCAACCCGGTATCTAAACGTGTCCTCTCGTTATCATACATGCAACAAGGAAAATGGGAACTTTTGGTCGTTGGAAATAGAAAATGTAACAGATTCCTTCAAAGAACAAAGAGATAAAGTCAATTCTAACAGCAAGATGATCTAGTTCATGGTAGTTGAACGGGTACAAGGTAAATCCTTTATACTAGTTCATTGTAAGTAATGCAACTAAACAAACCTTTTTTTTTAATAATTCATGAAACATTGGTAACTCATTTATTTGTATTTAATTGTACTTTTGATTTTTCAGATGGCTTATTATTTTTGTGTTTTCTCTTTGGAAATCCATCGGTGCACTGCTTCAGTTATCTGTCCATTTTATAACATTTTGTGATTTAAAATAAATTGTTTTCAACTTTTTGATATCTGCTTCACTTGACTCCTGTTTATTTTTATTTTTAAATCTACGGTATGTGTCTTTATACCCATGCAATGTCACTCATGAATTCATACTGAAAGTTGTTTCAGTGTCACAATAAAAGTACAAAACAAATGAAAGCTTTTGATTGTTTTTATCAACAAAAATAAAGAAATAGTTTAGGTAATAACTCATTAACTCAGGAGTGTTACGTCATCCTTTCTTATTTTTGTGACTTCATGGTTACATTTTTATTTGATATTATATATTAAGTTAACATAACTCAAGAGAATTCTGGCAGGGTTCATGGAAAATTAAAGAAAACGGAGTTCAGCCAATTAAACAATGTAAATATATTCTTAAATGGTTGCTAAAGTGCTGCATGGTTTGAATCTACATTTAATTAACATTTCTCAGACATTTTCTGTTAGAATTTGGTTTTCTCTCACATAAAATGTACTTTTGTGGATATGAATTTATAGAAAGACATATAATACTATTTTTGTTTTATGTATCTCAAACATAAAATACAAAGAGCACCTCTTACAGTAATCAATAATGTTACAACAAACATAAAAAATGTCTTGACATTTGCAGTACTTGCTTTCATTTGTATTTGCTTAAACTCTCACTATTCATTTGCACTCTTTCCTACTTTGCGCTGCATCTGCTGCACAACAGTTTCCCTCAGAATAAATAAAGTTCTATCTCATCTTATCCTGCAATTTAGAAAGGTATCTGTTAGTAATTAGAGCAGCAGTTGAGCTGGACTCTGGAGGAGGTGACAGAGAAAAGGATGCTGTCCAAGTTGGTTTCCCATCCTGAACAAGGTGCCCCCCCCCCCCTCTGGTTACTCAATGTACATACACAGAAAAAGACATAAAACCAAAGCTGGTTAGGCAAATGTGTGAATGTATGTATGTATGACCCCTGCTGGTCATTAACGGAATTACGCCAGCGTTACTACCCAGTGACCCCTGCTGGTCATTAACGGAATTACACCAACGTTACTACCCAGTGTGACGTATGTTCCTGTGACGCGCAGAAATTTTAAACTATCGTCCTTCTCAGTGATGGCGGCTTCGTCTCGTTCTCTCCCTGCAAGCTGTAATAACAAATGGTACTACACCCGACAACAGATCGACAACAGCCCATCTCGGAGAGCTGGACTTGATCCGGACAAGGAGCTGTCCTACAGACAACAGGCGGCCAACCTGCTGCAGGACATGGGACAGCGTCTCAATGTGTATCTTTTGTCGAGGGACGACTTGCTACCTAGCCAACATTAGCTTGTTAGCTAGCGAAGTTTATCTTCTCGTGACGCCGGTTGGGCACAGAGCTACGACTTATGTTTTGTTATTGTGTTTAGTTCGAAGGCTTTTCGGTTGGTTTTTGTGTTTCACGCGGTGGTTTGGGATTTTACTACGTTAACCTTAGTTTATTAGCTTTATCTGAGAGCGGCGTAGTGGGCTAAATATACTGGATCCACGAAGGCCTGTGTGGTCTGCAGGCCTTCAGGACGTTAGCATTAGCTTTACCTCTTACTGTGAATGTTCGTGAGGAAAAGGTGTAGCTATAGTGGAACAACAACCATTACAAACATTATGTTTTAGTGTGTTTAAATATTTTATCTATTGAGTCAACCCTTTTATTTGTTAAAATAGAGGCTCCCGACTAACATCCGAAGCTAGCTATGGTTTCTGTTTGTCTCTGTGATATTTAGTTTCAGTAAGTCATGAGCTTAATCAAACCTATTTCAGGTATGTTATTTCACTTAAAGAACAATGACCCCATGTCATATACAAGGTATACATTAGTGCAGATGTTGCGATCTGTTAGCACTACTGTTTGCTACTTTGTCCTTAACTTCCATGTATCAGGTCCCAACTCACAATAAACACAGCCATCGTGTACATGCATCGATTCTACATGGTCCAGTCATTCACCAGATTTCACAGAAATGTAAGTATCGATGTCTACAGAAGTCCCACATACAGCTGTCGGTACTTAATGTTCAATCAACTCATGAACTTCTTTTTGTTTTCCCCTCAACAGGTCATTTCTCCTGCAGCACTCTTCCTCGCTGCTAAGGTCGAGGAGCAGCCCCGAAAGCTGGAACATGTTATCAAGGTGGCCCATGCATGCCTCAATCCTCAGGATCCTTCACCAGATGTACGCAGTGATGTAAGTGTTGGGCTGTTGTCAAAATTGCCTGCAATTGTGCTCTTGTCTCCCCCTGAGCTTACCTGATGGGGTAGAGGTTTCATCTCTACAACACTACGGCATAAAGGGAATGTATTGTTATTCGTCAGTAGAATTTGTGAAGATTAATATTGCTTTATTCATTTGACTGATTATTTTGTTGTTGTTTTTCTAATTGCAGCTTCAATGCTGATGCTCTTATATGGAATGTATTTTGGCAATAAGTTAACCGCTGAGTTTTCTTCTTTATTCTTGGTTTTCACATTGGATTCAAACTGGGTACAATAACTTGACTTGGTGTTTTGTTGTGAGCCACTTTAGGTTACTTGAAGCTAGCTACTTGAAACTTGAAGGCGTCCACAATCTAATTTTAAAGAGATTGTGGTATTTTAATGTCTTACATCTTTTCTCAAATTTCACATAGCCTCAGTGACCAGTGGAACAGCGCTATGTGAACAAACCAATAGAGTGATCCAGCTAAATAGATGACTATGCCGATTGGATGTGGCTGTTCTTTGGGTGATGTATTGCGAACAATGCAACATCAGTTCTAGCTATCGGCATGGCGGATGTAAACCTTATAGGCAGCTGGATTATCACAAGAAAATTCAAGAAATACGTTTGATCTGGTAGGCCAGAGCACGGACTGATCAGTGTCCTGTGAGGAGCTAATGTCAGCTATGGGTGTGGTGTAGGTGTGTGCGTGACGGAGAGGTGACTGTTCGTTCAAAACAACAATGGCGGCTCCTAAAGAGATGTATATGCTGCAATCGTATCAGTTATATCAGAACTGGACAGTATTTCTTCATTGAAAGAAGAGGAAAGAACGGTACTGAAAGCTTTTCTCGGTGGAAAAGATGTTTATGGTCTTCTTCCGACTTGCTTCAGTAAGGGTTTGATTGACAGATGGTTTATCCAATCACGTGCCAAGTATCCAATGACGGCTTCTCAGATGGTTCTGTGTAACAAACCATCTCGTGGGTCAGGTGATGGCGGATGAGGAGCTTGTGCCAAAAAAGACAGCCGTCAGTTGTATTGGAATGGTTTGGTTACGCGGTGTCAGATATTTCCCACGGCAACGTTATCTGTACATTTTGTTGAGCAACGGTGGGCTCTTCTAGCAAAAACACAACTTATTCAATCCGCTTAAAAGAAAGAACCTGAAATAATATGCCGACATCAGCTCATCACACCGAACAGAAACAGAACAGTTGCCATTGACTGGAGCTTATGACCAAAGCAGCAGATACCTGAGACGTATTAAGCAAAGGATGTGCTGCCATTCAAAGCCGTTCACAATGTTGGATTTAAAACGCTGCTGAAAACTTCAGATCAGAGGTTTGAGCTGCAAAATGTTTCCTATGCTGACGCCCAATAGTGTTATTTTCAAGACTTGTGTGACATTTACAGAATGTCATATTTTGCTGCTTTGTTTTGAGTCCTTGAAAAGTGTTTTTTTATGATGTTTTATTTTGGATTCTGTTTATAAATTCAAGTTTTAATCACCGCTTTGAAACCTGTTTAGTATCTTAAGCAGTAACGCAACGGCGTAAAGAGAGATTGTGATATTATATTTTTGGCCGGATCGCCCCACCCCCTACCTCAGGTGGTGGTCCTTCTTGATACATGGGTCAAGAAAGCAAAAGACAAAAAAAATGTATCAGAGTGTCTTTGTAGGTTTTCAGTGACCCGGGTTATGTGATGTTTAGTAGTAAAGCAAATGTACTCACTGTTAAGCTTTTAATCTGTGAGGCTCCGTCAGCTCTACTTCAAAGGTGGGTTTAATGTGTTTGACGACGGATGGAGGCCTCTCAGTGAGTAACGTGCCTGTCTCCTCAACCTCAGGCCTACCTGCAACAAGCCCAAGACCTGGTCATTCTTGAGAGCATAATACTTCAGACCTTGGGTAAGTTGGGAAGGAAAAACTGGGTCCCTTGATTTCCCTCCTGGAACACATGTAACTATAAAACTAGTGCTAACCCGTTTCACCTTTGTCCACAGAAAGCACAGGAGGCATTTACGCTTGATATTAGCAGCACTCACCCACTGTTGCGTTACAGTGTTTCTGCTTTTGTTTCTATTATGTCCATAACTTTTTACATTTCCCCCCTTTTTTTTTTGTCTACATTTTTTTTAGCCATTTGTTGTTGAGGGCTATGTGAAAAATCTTCTGAACAATGGCTTTTAGTATGTTTTTAATCTGATTTAATCCTTTCCCATGTTTTCAAGCTTGTAGGCAGTTGAAGAAGATAACTGGTTTTAATTAAATTCACCAAATTGTGTTTTTGTTGTTTTTGTTAAACAAGACTCAGTGTCATGCAAAAAGGTTTGGGAATCAAGAAGTGTATCGGCATGCCTTTAATATTTTTTCACATTCATCTGTTTTCATGTCGTCCAGGTTATTATTGGGAGACCAGTTAATCCAAGTTAATCTGTGCAACACGTAGTTTGGTATAACAGTATTGATTTTCTGGTTTTCAGGGACTTTAATGATTGAAATCTCTGTGGTGCACATATGTTAGTTTGACTTCTGCATTTCATTTATCGAGCTTTGTCTCTTTTTGTCCTTTTTTTTTTTTTTTTAATTACAGCTTTTGAAATCACCATTGACCATCCTCATACTCATGTTGTCAAGTGCACTCAGCTTGTCAGAGGTGAGCATCAACTCTTCAATTTTGCGAACTTGTGTTTGTATGTTTCAGCATGATGGGATGAGTGCATGTTGCGTTGTTAAATCGCAGGTTTTAAGTGTGTTTTTTTGCTCTATTGTTGTTCCAGCGAGTAAGGATCTGGCTCAAACATCATACTTTATGGCAACTAACAGGTATATTCACAGTTCACTGTAAAATGTTAGCTTTTGTAGTTTTTTTTGATATATGATGTTGCAGCATGTCTTCATATATTTTGTGTATATTGTGTACAATCCTCTAACTCAATATGTCTGCTCTCTCTTCTCTCTCTTCCTGTTTCTGTTTTTTATTGCCTTCTGGGATGTATCCTGCCACGTAGTCTGCACTTGACCACGTTCTGCCTGCAGTATAGTCCGCCGGTTGTGGCCTGTGTGTGCATCCACCTCGCCTGCAAATGGTCCAACTGGGAGATCCCCGTGTCTACAGATGGCAAACACTGGTGGGAGTATGTTGATCCCACGGTTACCCTCGAGCTGCTGGATGGTACGTGTCTGAAAAGGAACTACAAGTCATACATCAGTTACTTAATCTGAAGTTTTTTAACTTCCTCCACTTGATCTTGTCTTCACTTCTTCATAACTTATTTCAGAGCTCACACACGAGTTCCTGCAGATTCTGGAGAAAACACCCAGCCGGTTGAAACGGATTCGCAACTGGAAGGTAGATATTTTTTTGTGACCCAAGACATCCTGCATTGTGTGGACATTTATCGTTGAATGACTTAAACTGTGAGGCTCTGTTTTCTCTGCTCCCAGGCTGGAGGTCAGACGCCAAAAGCCAAGACAAAAGTTCAGGAGGAGGGTGACCAGAGGGACACCATGATGAGCATGATCTCCATGGCCTCATCGGAGAGCACCGTGGCAGGCTTGATGAGTCTCTCGGCTCCACCTTCCGGCTCCTCTTCCTCATCCATCGGAGACAAGGATGGGGGTGAACCTGGCAGTGCTGCGACTTGGAGTGGAAAGGGTCAGGCTGGAGCTGAGCAGCAGCTGCCCAACAATGAGGTTCACGCTCCAGCTAAGGTGTCGCTGAGTGAGTACCGGGCCAAGAACGCAGATGTCCTGGCTGCCCAGAAGAGGAAGCTGGAGAACATGGAGGCCAGCGTAAAGAGGGACTATGCCAATGCTGCCCAGGCTCTCATTGGTCAGCAGCAGAGGAAGGAGAAGCAGCAGCATCACCAGCAGTCCAGCTCATCCTCGTCCGACGTGTCCAACCCGTCGCCCATTATTCTGAAAATCCCCCTGGAGAAGGAGAGGCATGAGAGGACCTCTCTCAAAATGCGCTTTCCCCTTGCTGGGGGAGGAGGCAGCGGGCACAGTGGCAGCGCCCGAGGTCAGGAACAGGACATCAAAGTTAGAATACGAGTGCCTGAGAAGCAACGGGTGAGCTCGGGAGAGGAGGGCAAGAGCAGGGACAAGCACAGGGAACGGTCTAACCACCACCATCATCACCACCACCACCACCATTCCTCCTCTACCGGCGCTTCACTCTCCTCCTCACACAAACATTCATCTAGTTCGAGCGGGGCTGTTGGAGGCAGCAAAAAAGTCCCCAGCGACTCGTCTCGAACAAGCTCTTCGTCCTCTTCTGCTTCGCGTAAGAGGACGCACTCTCAAGACCCCACAGCAGCCACTCACCCCACCTTGAAAGTCAGCAAGTCCTCTAGGAATCCCTACCAGCTACCCTCCCTGTCTTCCTCCTCTGGTCAAACTCTGGGGCACGGCTCTGACATTCTCCCCGCCCTGGGTCTTCCGCACCACCAAGGGAGCTTTCCCCACTCCAAAGGCGACAAGATGGACACTAATGGGCACGGTGCAGCGGGGGGAGCCCAGTCGAATGAGTACCAGGACACTTTTGAAATGCTGAACTCACTTCTGAGCGCACAGGGGGTCCAGCCGTCGCAGCCGTCCATGTTTAACTACAGATCCCAATATGGGGAGTACCGGTACAGTGGTGGCTCCAGAGGGAACAACCAGAGGCCCCCACCCCTCCCTTCAGAACCGCCTCCCCCAATGCCGCCGCTACCCAAATAGGTTCCTGATCGGAAGACGTATTATGTACTTGACATCCCCGACATCCATCTTGTTACATAAAGTATTGCATCATGTCACCCAACATTTTTTTATATGTTTCAGTGTGACAGCAGTGAAATGTACCGGTGAGATAAATGAGTATTCAACTTTTTTGTTTTTACACTTTTTGGGCAATAATGAGTGGCTTCAAAAGCTTGCAAAATGTGAGGGGGGAAAAAATACAGGAAAGTGTAGATAATATTTTTTTGCTCTTCCGTTGAACTCAAATGAAAGGTGATAATGGGACCTGGTATTTTTAGCATCACTGTTTCGGAGGAAGTTGCTGTCTTGAAATTATGAGGAAACTAAAAGATTTCCGTCACATAGCTGTTGGGTCTTCTTTCCGATTGTCTTTTTATAATGTTTTTATAGTATGTTATTTATTAATTGAATGCTTTTAAAAAAAAAACATCGCCCTCTTTTATACCTTTTTTTTTTTTAAGGTTCCCCCTCTTCGTTCTTTAGGGCAGAGGGATATTTCTTCATCCCGACTGTACAGGCTAGTGTGAGTGTGCATGTCTCCAAAGCCATCTTTTCAATATTTTTGTCTTTTTTTTTTCTTTCTTTTTTTTTGCGTTCAAACAGCCATAGCCTAAAAGAAATGTGAGAGCCCATCCCAGGTGTTTATCTATTTTATGTCTTTCATTATTTGGTAAGCTTGTACAAAGACTGTAAAATGTTTAAAAACAAACATGAAATATTTTTTACATTTTGTTATGAAAAATTGCAAAAAAAAGATGTAAATTAAGGAATCTTGTACTTTTTTTTGTTTTTAGATTTTGCGTGTTGCAGTCATTGTTTTAAATGGTTGTAAAATATTCATATTCAGTTGTCTAATTATTACACTAATGGACAAAGTTCATACCAAGGATGGACATCTATGGTTTTCTCAAAGGGTTCAAACATACACAGTATGGTCACAATGAAGGAATTGCCAACACAAAAAAAATCCCTCTAGAGAAGAAATGTGAGTTTTTAATTCCGTCATGTAATTTAACACACCAGTCTTTTTATGATCAAATAGGCAGAATGTATAGACATACAACACTCTAAATGGTGTGGACAGCAGCACCCTAAAGCTGCTGGTGCTCACCTGTTCTAACTAGTATAATGTATGATGAAATTGGTTTAAAAGATAGTGGAAGAGGTGCTACTTCTTGGCAAGAGAATCGGGTATCATCTGTACATTTAATTCATACTAAGCTTTATGTGGTTTTGATTGTATATTATTACTACTCTTAACCTGCTTTCTTTTATCAGTTCAACTTAAAAAAACGTTATTACCTTCGTTATAGACATACAGGTACATACATGAACAATTACCTCTGTATTTAACCCGTCGTGAGCGTTTCAGAAGCAGTGGGCTGCTGTAAAGCGGCCAGGGAGCAACTTGGGGTTCAGGGGATCGAACCCGCCCAACCTTAGCCTCCCTCAAAAACACATTTGTTTTAGATAGTTCACAGTAATGCAGTACAACAAGTCATCAGCCATAAAATTGTAATATATTTTTTGTTCCCATGATTATATGGAAGATAAGCTGAAAAGATTACAGCTCTTTGCTCAGGCAGCAGAGGTTTAATGGTTGTAACAGGGAAACGGTAAATGCACTGAATATTTATCTCGGTAGGTACGCCTACAATGCAAATCACAGTGTTACTTGTGTAATGGATATGCTATTAGAGTAGATGTCCAATATATTACCATTTTTGAAAATTGTTTTAATTGATCTGGACAAATTTTCAAATTTAAATAACTATGTTGTGAGAAATTCTTTAAAAAAGGATGCTCATTTCAAAATAAAACTCATATGTAGGACAATAGGACACTCATTTCAAAATAAAACTCATATGTGAGAAATAAATGGAAGACACTCATGCAACCTAACAATGCAAAATCCAATAGCTCCAGTAAGTTTCATGTTTTTCATGTCTTGGTGTTTTTAGCGACACTCAGGTCTTGAAATGAAACGTTTTGGGATTTTATTTTTGTTTTCAGTTAAAACGTTATATGTGAACACTGTTCTTTTTGATAATATGTGGTTGCTTTATTCTCAATTAAAGTCAATAAATATTTTAAGAAAACTCTTGCTGCATTACATGTTTTAATAAAACTTCACTGGCGCAGTATTGTGGGCGGAGAAGACCTTTTTTTTTTACTGTTTACCACTTTTGATTGGCAGCTAGATTGGCCAATGAAATACCTTGGGCTTTGACCAATCAGAGCTCTGAGTGGGTGGGCTCATATTGAGCGTGCAGTGGCTGTGGCAGTTACTGGGGATTGCTGGGAAACCTATGTGGTGTGCCTCGGAAGCAAGTTGAACCTGGTCGGACCTTTGTGACAAAGGTAAGCAATTATAAACAATAAATGCAGATATATTCATTTTCTGGCACCGACGCATGGGCCATCCGATATCGAGACGGATGGCCGTCTGTCGCCATTGCTCAGCAAAACTCCTTTCCTAGCTGCAAATTGTGGAAAGTAGCGCTTGGCTAATGTTAGCAACTGCTAAACAAAGATGGCCGCGCCATAACTGAAAGCCTGACGCAGTAACTGTTACGTTTTACGTTGGTACGGGTTCAATTGTTTTGATGTTCATGACTAATTCATGTTAATCATTTATATTAACTTACAAAGTTATGGTGACTAACGTGAGTCTTCTTAGACGTTATTTTAAATAAAGAATAACTTAAATTTGAATTTAAATTCAATAAACTTTGGTTGTTTTTCAGTGAATATTGATACAACGATAACGTGTCGGTTCTGTTTGCTTTACTCTGACCCAATTTATGACGAAAGGTTTAACTTTAAATAATTTATATGCAATATATTATTAGGTAATACATTATTTGCAATCTGTGGTTGGTGTACGTCTACTGTTAGTATTAACTCTATATGACTCCAAAATGTGTTTTGTTTGACCAATGGTAGAAAATCTATTTTGGTTGGCTACATTTTTCAGTTTAACACCATAATACCATAAATGCCAAAGATTAGGGAAATAAATGGGTTATTTGTCTGAAAATAACAAAAGATGTCCGAAGAGTTGAATATGGAAAAAATTAAATATCACATTTTTTTTTTTTTTTTTTTTTTACCAACATTTTTAAATACAGTCTGGTAAGTTCACTTTACTGTAATGCAGCCTTTTAAAACCAGGAAAAGACAACACCTGCGTCATATTACAATATCCAAAATCTATGACAATATCTAGTCTCATGTCAAAATATCAATATAATATTGATTTATATCAGTACAATGATATTTTGCCCAGCACTACAGGGGATATTTTCAGTGTTTTGTCTGACTGACATTACGAGATATTCAGTTTCCTGTCATACAGGACTGAGGAAACAAAACAGCAAGATCCTACATTTGAGAAGCCAGAATAAGAGTGTTTGATTTTTTTTTTTTTTTTTCAATTAACTAATTGTTTCAACTCATAATTTTTTGGCAGACTTGCAATGAACAGGATACGAATCCATGTTTTGCCTTCGAGTCGAAACCGAGTCACCCAGACGGCTCGTTCCCAGGAGCCCCAGGCATGCTCCTTTACCCAGCGGCCGTGCTCTCAGCCCCGCCTAGACGGCCTGGAGTTCTGCGTCAAACACATTTTGGAGGACAAGAACGCCCCGTACAAGCAGTGCAGCTATGTCTCCGCCAAGAACGGCAAGCGCTGCCCCAATGCTGCACCAAAAGTCGAGAGGAAAGATGGGTAAGAAAGTAAAAAATTAGATTTGAAACAAGTTACACCTCAGCTTTATTATGAACTGTAAGTCTCTGTATGGAAGATACTCTGACATTTCTTCTCCATTGACTCTTTGTGTTGTTTAGAGTGACGTTCTGTGCAGAGCATGCTCGCAGGAATGCCATGGCCCTCCGAGCTCAGATGAGAAAGGCGTCTTCCGGTCCGTCCCCAGAGTCGCTGTTGTCTCAGCTTAGTGGATATAACCGTGCAGAGACTAACAGCACTGACGGAGGTCGCTCTGAAGCGAGCCGTATTCTAGGTACACGGTCTTGCTTAGACTTTGTCAATTGTTGACACAAGTTAATCTCATGTGCATTGATATTTCCTCTATATTATGTTAGTGGTGAATTGATGTGGTTAGTTCTTTTTCAGTTTATGTTAACGTGTGTAAATATGATTTTAATGTTTAACTTCACCTGCTCTGGACAGATGAGGACAGTCTGAGTGAGGAGGAGCAAGGTCCGTTGGTTCTAGACCAGACGTGGAGAGGAGACCCCGACAGTGAGGCAGACAGTGTTGACAGTGATCACGAGGATCCTCTGAAGTAAGCTAAATTAAGTTTTTAATCTAAACTTGCAAATTGATTGGATTTAGATTGTAGTGTAAAACTTAATTGTTGGAATGCTGTTATTGTTATCCTATTCTTTATTCTTCAACTATTTCTTCCGTCCCGTTTTTTGAAACGCTTCTTCTTCTTCATTTTTTTAAGCTACAGAAACCGTTCAACTATCAAAATGTTCAGCTCGTTAAGGACACGTGTGCTATGACTTTTAATATTTCTAACCTTTAAACTTTTTGAATTATTAAGCTTTTTGCAACTTTTTTTTGAATGGGATGTCTATGGAGAATATTTTTAAATCCTCTAAACTTCTTCAACTTTCAAATCCTTCTACTTCCTCATATTTTCAGCTACAGACACCATTTCAACTTTAAAATATTTAGAAAACCCTGATCTATTGCCGCATTATTCAGCTTTTTGATATCTTTTATACTTTTTGAACTGTCCCATTTTAACTTTTATGACTTTTTCAGCCCTTTTGACTTTATAATGGGTGTGTATTGCGCAGCTTAGAGTGCATGATGTCACCGCTAGAGTGAAGAGCAGCTTGAGATTCTTGTGAAAAAAAGATTTGTCTTTTGCCACTGTGTCCACAATCTTCACTCTTCATGCATAATTTCTGGATGTAGAAGTAGCTAATCTTGTCCTTGTTGTAGACAAATGACTGTGGAATCCCACAGATTTACACATTTGACACAGAAGCCTGTAATTGAGAGGAAAACCAACTTTCTGCTCCATAGAGACCAATGTTAAATTTTGCTTCAAAAACATCTTCCACGAACACGGTACCCCATTTCTAGATCGCCAGTTCAGCCACATTTTTTACAATTTTTACAGGATCTGTTCTTCAACTCATCCTTCCTCTCATTTATTAATATCGGAGCAATAGGAGCTACGGTTATGTGAGTTTTGAGGATTTGTTTGAGAGGTGTTTCCCTGTTTTATCTCCATGAAAAGGCTGCAAGGACACAGGTGTTTCTGATTAAGCTAATTAGTGATGTTGGTAAACGCACTCACTCACTCATTCATTCATTCAGGTCTTAGAGACTTTTAGAGGACCCCCCCCATTTTAAAATAAAAGCCGCACACCCATGATTTAGAGATATACGTGATGCAGCTCAGCCAATCAAATATGGGTATTCTGATAAGTTTCCTGATTCGAGTGACATTTACACACACCGCGACACAAGAGGGAGAGACGAGGAAAGACATGGCAGAGCAGGACAATAGTCATGTAAGCTGTAAATGATACAACATAGGACAATCTCCAAATGAGAAAGATTGCCAGAGAGATCAGAGTCTCTCTGTCTGTCTGGCTGTGTCTCTCTCTCATACAATCATTCAGGTCTTAGAGATTTTAAGAGGACTCCCCCCCCCCCCCCCCCCCCCCCCCACACACACACCCCATTTTAAAGTAAAGGCCCCACAAAATGAATTCTAACTGAAATGCTTGTGATGAAGCCTGTCATTTAATAACCCGTTTATGTTTATCTAACATTAAGATTATGTATCCTCTCCCCCACCCAGTCCCACCCTTTCAAAATGAAAGCCTCATGGATTAACTGTATTTAAACGTTAAGCTCAAAATTAGGCTTTTTTGTTGAAATAATGAATGCTCTTACGAATACTGCGACGACTACTACTGCTACTAATATTTCTAGTATCACTACTACTGCTACTACTTCTACTGCAACTTTTGCTGTTGCTACTATTACTACTGCTATTACTGATACCATCAATATTATTACTACCACTACTGATATTACTACTACCACTACTATTATTATATATACCACAACTGCTACTACTGCTATTCCTGCTACTACCAGTACTAATACTACTACAGCTATTAGTACGACTGCTACTAGTACTACTGTTATATTAAATACTACGACCACTACTACAGCTATTACTACGACTACTGATACTACTACTTCTACTACTTCTTCTAATTACTAATACTTCGACTACAACTTCTACAGCTACTACAAATATCACTACTGCTACAACTAGTACTTATTCAAATGCTACTAATACTTCTACTGCTAATAATACTTCTACTACAACAAATATCACTACCGCTGAAATTTTCTTAAGCTACAGAAACCGTTCGAATATCAAAATGTTCAGCTCTTTCAGGAGAGGGTGATATGACTTTTCATATTTGTAATCTTTCAACTTTTTGAATTATTAAGCTTTTTGCAATTTTCTTTTGAATGGGATCTCTATGGAGAAAATCTTCAAATCCTGTTAAACTTCAACTTTCAAAGCCTTCTTCTTCATACTTTCAGCTACAGACACCATAGTGAGACATTTCAACTACAAGGGTTTTCAGCAGTGCAGTTTAAATGCTTTCAAGCTTCAACATTTTTCAGACGGGTAGTCTCCCATTTCTTAATTTTCAGCAATTTTTTGACAATTAATTTCAGCTTTCAGCATTCCAACGCATTTTCAGCAGGAAATGCATTTTCTAGTTTTTGGATGTTTGCTCAGACGTCCAAAACAAAAAGTATTGATTATACGGTAACACATTTTTCTTTCTCTTTGAGGTTTAATTAGCAGCGACTTTCTAAAATCACAATTCTCTTGGAAGGCACACACATTGTATCATTTCCTGTTTGTATAAAACTGCAAAGTATGAAGTTGATTTATTGTATACTAATTGGAAATACGGTATAATTGTGTAAAGTGTCTTGATTTAGCCTTAATCCAAGAGTCGGACTGGTTGGAGGTTGTTGAAAGAGTTGAATACAGGGT